ACTGATATCGAATACTCATGTGGCAAAACCACCTAACTTTGCTGATATTGAATACTCATGTGGCAAAACCACCTAACTTTGCTGATATCGAATACTCATGTGGCAAAACCACCTAACTTTGCTGATATCGAATACTGATGTGGCAAAACCACCTAACTTTGCTGATATCAAATACTCATGTGGCAAAACCACCAAACTTTGCTGATATTAATTTCTTGTGTGGCAAAACCACCTAACTTTGCTGATATCGAATACTCATGTGACAAAACCACCTAACTTTTGGTCAAATATTATCACCTATAGAATTCCCATAGGCGACAGTTAACTTTTGAGATTAATAACTAACGAAGCTCGGTGAACTTTCACACATTAAAATACATAAAATTTGTCAAAACTATGAGTTTAGGGTAACAAAATTCAGTATTCGATCAGTGGTCTTGTTCTGAAGCTACGTAACTTTTCTGATATTGGTGCTAAGTATCTGTAAAGGACCGATGGAGTCAGTCAGTGATATTCTCACTAACACATTCTACTAAGTCTGAATGTTTATAGAGTCACAGGGTTTGGCCCTGAAGCTACACTCTATGCTAAGAGATATTGTAAGTGGATAAACTGACATAATAAAGCTGTGTAATCCTATCAAACTTTGTAGTAAGTACTCTATTTACATTTAATTGAGTGATGGTGTATTTTACCATGTGTGTTAGTCTTAGATAACTTTAACAAAATCTATTAAATACTGGGTAACTGAGATTCTGTCCCCGATAACGTCATGACATTTGTTCCTACTTTCAATTAGAGCTATGAATTGCATCATGGGAGCATAGTTTGACTGATCACTGATTGGCTGATGTCACTCAGGCTTCTTTATTACCACCAAATGCATTTTTCTATAATTTCTTTGTTAATTTTAAACTAGATGAATATAACTTCCTATTCAGATACATCTCGCCTACAATTTTTGCAAAAGATATGAAAAAAAAATGGTTGAAAATAAATTGCAACGAATAAAATATAGTGTCAAATGGATTGTCTGAAGTGCTGTAATAACGGCCAATTCATAGCAAGTACATCTAAAAAGCCTACTTATTTCAAATGAAAGCATTAATAGTCTGCACAGTTCCAGTTTGAAAGCTATTCATTACTCATTCAATGTTACATTCATAGCACAATCAATACATGCACAGTTACAGAAATCTCACACAAACCACAATAAATTAAGTCTTAAATAAAAATAGTAAAGTAATGCAAATATGCACAAGATATTTTGAAAAGAAACAAAACTTTAACGTTCTTAAGTTTATTTGATTTAACACCCCGATGTAAAAGTATTCAATGCACAATTCATATCAATATGGCTGCCGGAAAAATTATCACCATGACAACAGCATGAACTGCAACAATGATTCTATGTTTAATTTAATATATTACTGCATGATTATGAAAACAGCACAAGCAGCTCTATTCCCAGGGTGAAAGTACTTTCAGAGAAAGGGTGAGAAATTCACTGAAGTCAATCATCCAGCATAGAACAGAAGTCCGATTAAAAATGAAATTACAATACGATTTTGTTGCAGTATAATGACGGATACATTTTACAATGTAACATATTCAAGATGTTAGGCTGACGTCTTGATGTCAGGGCTATGCTTAGACCTGAACCACCACATAACCATAACATAGACAATAAGGGTTTTGAAAATTTGGCATTGGAAGAGTTTCACTGGGACTCAACCGGTCAAAAGCAGGTTTCACTAACTGTTGCCTCACAAGGGCTGTTAATCATCAAATTGTGAAAACTCAACAGTTTTCAATGACAAGTAAATATGCTATGACGTTGCTTTCAGAATTCAAATAAATATGGAACAGACAGAGAACTAAAAGCAATTTTTCTATAATGGATAATTAGACAAAGGTCATGACAAATGATAGTAATTCATGACTAGAGCAGCTGTGCAGCCATTAAGTCAGGACTGTTGGAATTTACCTTTAATAGCACTACGTTAAAGTACTGTAATAATTCAATCACTCTAAAAATATAATTCTAATTTTTATTCTAACTATTCAGTCACCTCGCAATATAAATATTTGTTCATGAATTAATAAAATAATGGTCCATCATTCAATACGCATATTTCATTGACTTACATAATTTTGACAAATCAGTTGATGTGAATCTTGTAATCTACGATCGCATTCGGTATGACCATCCTGGGTTTAATTGATTCTCATTATTCTACATTTTGAAATTTTTTATATTTAATCCTATGAATACCAAAGTCAACTCTTTCACCAAATACCCCCGTGAAAAATCTAACATATTGTTAAAATTTTTTATCAAAAGTTTAGTAAATCTGTATTAAAAATGAATGAAAATGTGACCAAAAATTATAACAGGAAAAATGATGACATGGAAAATGTTAAAATGGCCGCCAGGTTTAAATATACATCTAGACAACGGTAACATCGATTTAAAATGACTATAATTCAAATTTAGTAATTATATGTTTATACTTAAAGGAATAACAACAGGTTAACAGTTTGACATTTCTAGACTGTTCACAGAACACCTACAGATATTTTCAACAGTTTCAAATGACATTTTAATACTAGTAACTTCATTATGAATCCACCCACACTCACATCGTTTCAGAACATAGATCAACAGCAGAGTTCTAACATGCTACATATTACCATATTACTCGAATAAGAAACCTGTCTTAGTTTTCACGAGCATGGTCGAAAAAAATAAATTGACTTTTCTCCGTTGACTATCTGACCTATTGCATATAATATATGTTTGTCACTTGTCTCCTATCATGTAACAATCCATTCTATTCCCCCTAGTTACCTCATAAGTACTATCATCAAAAAACGCCAACACAAAAATGACAAACAACATAGAGGTTGTCACTACTTGAAAAACAGCAACACAAATTAAGAGAGATATGCTTATAAAATGACTACAAATGTACGAACTCACCTTTCGTTATCTAATTCGTGTAACCGAGCAACGATTTCAAGTGATAGTTTACTTCGTGGTGTACTTCTTCCCGATGAGCCACTGTATCGACTACTACCACTACAGGAAGACCGACTGGAATATGGACTACGAGGTGTTTTAGAGCGTAACTTCACATTACTGGCAGACATGTTAGCTGCAATAGATAAAACAATGCATAGAGTCATTAAAAGAGCAATTAAAGAACAATAGATAATAACAGCTCTTAATTATTCATGATTGTAATTAATGACCACAATACACCATCTGATTACAGGACACTTTGACTGATGGATTTGCTAGGGGATCTTTAATTATTTCCTGAAGAATACTTTCGAAAAAATCAACCTTTTGACTATTGAAAGTCAATTTTTGCCATCATTCTAAAATGAATCTATGCTACGTGAATTTTTCAATGATTGGAAACATGTCCATTCTGTTCAAAATTAACAAAGAAATTACAGAAAAATATACAAAAAATGTGCAAGCTGTATACATATGGCATAATAGTAATAAATTTGAAGTAGTTGATAGTCTAGTGTTTATATTTATTTGTATTTTTCTACTGTCTTCGTGTACATAGAAATCCCTGAATTGAAAACAATGACCATCTATGTACAGACATCATAGACTACGCTGAAAACATTCAGTACACAATGTCGATTATTCTGACTTTACAGTACTGTATTGCTTATTTTAGTTGTACCCTGTATTATGTATTTACATACAAGTGCATGTTTCTATGGTCAAAATAAGACTTCTAATACAGCAAATACCGTAAATGTATGCATTTTTCAGTTTGTTTAAATTTTCCAATTTTTGCAGATTAAGGAAATTTGCTGGCTTATAACTACAAGAACATACAATAGCATCATTGTTTTACAACCAAAATAGTGAGATATAAAATGCCACAAATGCAAGTGACATTGTAAATATTTTAAAAATAAATACGTATGTAGTACATTGTACCTTGAAACAAAGCAATGAATGAAGTCACCCAGAATGATAAAGATCCTGGAATTTAATCATTTCTTATCTATGCCGATTATTGAAACAATAAATATAATGAACAATATTCACCAAAACATCTGCCATGATATTACAGGTGAACGACTTGTGTCAGTTTTGATGTGTCAATAACTTGACATTGTGCACACCATGATGACCACAATATGATAACTGATAACAGTAGTTGTTTGAGAATTGGTTAACCAGCTACATATAAAGTTGTTAAGCAGTTACACAGAACATTCTTAACCACAACAATAATGAGTGTTGTGTGAGGGCTCTCTATTGAGAATGACCAAGTGTCCAAAACAAATTATATTTAGGGATTCATTTGACTTTTCTCTGAGACAGAAATAAATAACATGGACTACTTGAAATAAAATTAAATTTATAACTATTTTCGAAAATTTACCAGAGCAAAACCTGTCTGTTAACTGAATGTCAGTTATCTCGTAATTAGAAAAACTATTTGTATATTTGTACAGAAACATTTTGGTATGATATATTTATAATTTCCATGCACACTTTGCAAGACGGGATTTAAGATACTATTCTAAAAGAAGAATTCCTCAATCTAGTCAGTACTTTAAAATAGTTAAATTGCACAACCAATAAATGTGGCACTCTCAAATAAAATATTAAGTAATGTTTCCGTGTAGAATTGACAGCCACATTATAAATCCATCAAGAGAGTTGGATCATATGGACAGGAAATACAGTTGAATGCAAGACAGACAGTCAATTATTTCCACTGAGAGATTAAAGATTTGGCGGCAAAATATTTTTCTCTGAAGCATAATCAAATATTACAATTTGTTTTTTCTGAATCTCAGGCAGGAAAATCTATCAATTTTTTATACAGCTGTGAAAAATGCTGTCTACAGATGAATATATATATATATATTTTTTTTCTTTCTCCCTCCATCACAGGCTACCAACTCTCACTAGAATACTGTGGAATACTTTATTTTCGCTGGAATTAATTTTCGCTGAAAAGGCTTTTTGGGCGTTTTGTATGGAATATATTTTCACTGATTTTTGATGAGTTTAATGGGAAATATAGGAAAAAAAGTATATTCGCTAGATTTTATTTTCACGGAATCATCCCTTCAATGAAAATAGCGAAAATAAATTCCAAGCGAAAATAAAGTATTCTACAGTAATAGATTTGTTCCAAAAGAAACTGAGGATATTTGTCATAATTCGAGAGCTACATAGAAGAAATAATTCATTATATAACACATTCTGCTAACTAGTCTGAATAATTTATTATATTACGCCAAACATATTCATGGTTGTCAAAACATTCATCATCTCTGCAATGAATTTTTACAATTGAAAATTCTATAAATAATTTTTAATTATCTTGAGTAAAGAGTTAGTAATTTCATTTCTCCAATGATTTAACTTTTGAAAGAATCTTCAAAACACAAAACTAATTGAAAATTCAATAATTCTCCTTACATTAAACATTTTACTACCCAGCTCCATTCTACATTTACATTACTCACTTAATATGAAGACGTCATTTCCATGAAACTAATACTCAATAATAGTGGAAAACAATCTCTGGAAATAATATTTATTTGTGATTTCTATCCTCAGAGCACATCTCAGGTAATCAGGGTGGATGTTTGTTTCGAGGTATTTTTATGTAAGGTCAAAAGAGAAATCACAGAAGAGGTGATAATCAATAGTTATTAACAAAAGAAAGTACTTTCACTTTGCAGAATGAAATGAACAATTTTCAAGGCAATATATTGAAACAGTTTAAGTGCTTTTCTCATCAAAAGGAATCTCATCTAAGAACGTGTCTCCAGTCAGGGACAGTTAAAATACTCATGTTAGTTATTTTAGTTATTTTGCAATCCAGGAAATTTACATTGTAAGGATAATTTTGAAATTTTATAAAAGTCAGTGTGGATTCTATGAAACCACTGTCATTTATCTCGACTAAATTTTATGAAAGTTACGATGAAAGCTACTCCATTAAAGATTTGTTCACTGCTACAATGTTGCCATGTGTGAAAGTAAAACAACTCTAGGTCTACATACTATAGCAATTTGAATTCTTCTATCAAAAACATCAAATCTTGTGATAATCCAGAAAAAGAACACAAATAATCAAGACATCAATTTTTAACCAATAGTCCCCATAATATGAACATGTTCACTTTGTAATGTAGTTGCCTATAGGGGGCGCTCTTCACAACAGTTCTATTATATTTCCTAAGTCTGGAAACCAGGAAGTTCACACAAATCAGTACCACAGAATTTTGATTAACATTTGCCAAAAAAAACATCAAATACATCGTTTATTCAATAATATGTTCATTAGTGCCAGTGCTGCATGACTTCCAGTTGAAAGATTTTTCTTTTCTTTTTCTTTTCTTTTTTTTGTTGACATTGAATGTTAATGTTGTCTCTCCTGACTTTTTTTGTATGTGCAAATTGCAAGTGCTGGGGCCGACACAATATTCATGTTTGGGACTACATGACAGGACTGTGTGGCCATCTTCCTATCAAATGGCAATTTAATGCGCTATCCTGGCGTCAACCAGGCTTGGTCGAACACAACCACCAAAGTCGCATTTGTTAGTGAATGAATCTTGGCCAGTGGAATTGGCCTTCCCATTGAGTCTGTGGTACACTCACCCAGGGTAGGGGTCAACCCTTTGATATTCAGCCTTAGGTAGGATTTAAACTTGGGTCTACCGATCATGAGTCTGATGCAACAGCCACTATGCTACCAGTGACTGTTTTTCTATAAAGTTACTTACCATTTAAATTTTGGTCTAAAGAATCAGGCACGTTGGCAGAGGTTAACATAACATCAGCATTGGTTTCTTCATCTTGCATACTTGTTTGTATCTGTGTTAGGACATCTTTCATGTTTGACGCTTCGGACTCTAGTTTGGTAAGATGGCTGGAGTTGTCCTGCAACTCCTGGCGTAGATGAGAATTCTCTGATTTTAGTGATTCAACTTGCTGTAGTAACTGGTCGTAAGACGACACAGCCATTTTCTTAAATCTAAAATCAATAACAAGAAAGAAAATATATTTTAGTCTTATTATATATAATGATTGATTAAAAATCAATAAGTTAATTTTTATATAGATATAGTTTATAAATTCAAAAATACTAAAATATGTCATACATTGTAGGGTTTAGAAAACAATTCAATGTTGATCGATTCGCAAATTAAAGGCGAGAGAGTCGTCACCTGCCCACGCTCAGGAATTGAGTCCCAAGCGATGACAACAGCACACGCTAAAAACGCAAAGGTTCGTGGGTAGACGCTTGTTTGTAAACAGTGACACGCCATCTGACGCATGCGCAGGTGGCAACCCCCCCCCCCCCAGCTTTAAGCATATCAACACATTTTTTACAATAACATAAGGGGCCTCAATATGTGGACAAAAAAAAGACGTGAGGCATACATGTCATTGTGTACTGTTAGTATGCTTACTTGAAAGTAAATTCAAAATTGAACAATGGTGACAACAAAGATGAGGAAAGACATTTTCCAATTCTATACACAGTTCTTTACAGTTGTATACCGTGGGATGGACACAAACGAGCAGACTAATCAGTCTGTGTACAAGAAGTAGACACACCAACCACCAATTAAATAAGCTTTACACTATGACAAACTACAAGAAAGCTTGGCTGAAAAACGTCTAAAAATCAACTGAATAAGATCAATCTATTGCAGGAAACAGAAAGTACAAGTAAATGAACCACAGAAAGTGTAGTAATGAAAAAGATAGTATGCACAAATGTAGGAAAGAGAAAATAGAATGCATTAATGTGAAAAACGTCTTATCAATAATACATAGCAAATGCAGAGCGGAAAAGAATCAAAAGAAACATAAAGGTCAGAAATCTGACTATGTCTTTTCTAATAATGATCAATATTATAACAATAATCCCATTCAACCATGCATGCTAACAACATATACAGCAATTATTGAAAACATACAAGTTAGGCATTCCCCATAATGCATTGTGATATTTCCCATAATGCATTGTGGATATTTCCCATAATGCATTAAATTGGAAAAATTATGGCATATGCAACTTTATATACTTTTCCCCCACCCATGACACTTGTTGTTTTATGTTGATAATTACACAACTGGGTTTGTCAAAAATATGTTTGTGCAAATATAAAACAAATATGATTGACAAATGAAAGACAAAGTGTTTACAGGAGTGGGTTTTTCTGTACAAAGTGTTCAGACAGGGATCCGATTGTACACAGAACTGGGTTGAGAATGGTCACAGAAATTCTTTCCCAGGAAATAACCTCAATACAGCACAACATGATATTACTATCAAACATATCATTTATTTCAAAGTTTACTACAAGTTCGTGCAATTGTCAATTAGCGAATATTTGACATTTGAAAACTATTAAATACGGATATCAGGAAATTAATGGGCCATTATGATGATAGACTTTATATTGAATGATTAATTGCCTGACAACGTTGAGTAACTTCAGTAAAATTCAAGCTTTGTTAAATATTGAATTGTAAACCACTTTAATTATAGTCCCACAGCCAAGTAACCATGGAGATGTAAAATTCTGGCAAAAAATAGAAATCACTCCTGAATCTCCTCCATTTTGATGGAGAATAACAAAAATTTAAAACTGCCCAATGGTGGCATAGGATGATGCAAACGGTGACATAGCAGATGCAGTCCAGGATGATGCCAACGGTGACATAGCAGGTGCAGTCCAGGATGATGCCAACGATGACATAGCAGGTGCAGTCCAGGATGATGCCAACGGTGACATAGCGGGTGCAGTCCAGGATGATGCCAACGGTGACATAGCAGGTGCAGTCCAGGATGATGCCAACGGTGACATAGCGGGTGCAGTCCAGGATGATGCCAACGGTGACATAGCAGGTGCAGTCCAGGATGATGGGTATTGAGATTCTGCTGAAATTTATGTTGTTACATCTACTTGTATGAAGCTATCATACATCTCTAACATAGAAATAGACAGACTTTCAAATTGTATTTGTACATTTGAGTAAAAATCATAAACAAATGTCCTCAAGCAACCCAGACAGTTGTGGTCATCGACAGATTAGATCAGAAAATTCACCATCTGTTCATTTCATTGATTAAAATATCAGCCACAAAAATCCATAATTCCTGTTTAAGTCTAGTAATATCATGACTTAATTACTATATCTACTGCTAGAACATAAATCATGATTTAAAATCTGGATAATGGTATAATAATTAACTGTAGTTTTATAACCTCTGAACTCATATTCAATTTTCTTTAGTCAACATGCAAGTTGTTTTATCTTTGAGGCATGATGACAGAGTTAAAAATGCTATGAATATCATCATTATGGAAAAAAAGTGAGAGTCTGTACATAGTGTACATCAAAACAAGCTGAACTACTTTCACCCACACACTTACGTCAGACACTTCTTCATCACATAAGGTCATCGACACAAGAAATAACATCTCTGGACTGACTGACTCACTCACTCACTTGTGAGTAAGATTTTTTCAAGTGACAACTCTTGCATCCTAATTTATTGGCTGTAAGTGGTATTTCTTCTGACCTTGCAGACTAAAGGTCAAACCTTGAAAATTAGTAGCGGATCAGAGATCCAGTGAGACAGAAAAGTCTCACCTTTGACAGCCTCTGTACAGGCACTGCCGTATGTGACAGGACAGGATCAATACATCAGGCAATGATGAATAATTCAGGGACAGATCTAGATATTTGTTAATATGCCTTTCAGTTGTGGGATATCATTCAGCAGAAATACAATCACAATGTATACATTTTAAACGTCCTACATCCTATTTAGGTCATATCATACTATACTGCTGAATAAACTACTTTTAATAATGTTATCTCTGTGAACCAGTTATATCTTGTGATACTTCATAGCCAACCATCTTGGGATCATTTGACTAATATGACTGAACCCAAATATTATACCTACTGGTATTTATTGGAGCAAGGAACATTTTGTTCACTAGCCAGAATTTGATAAGTCAAGCAATTTAAGCTATTAGAACTGTACAGCCAATAAGAGACACTCTTACAATCTTGAAAATATTAGAACTATATAGCCAATAACAAACACTCTCACAATCTTGAAAATATTAGAACTATACAACCAATGACAAACACTCTCACAATCTTGAAAATATTAGAACTATACAGCCAATGACAAACACTCTTACAATCTAGAAATTATTAGAACTATACAACCAATGACAAACACTCTCCAAATCTTGAAAATATTAGAACTATACAGCCAATGACAAACACTCTTACAATCTAGAAATTATTAGAACTATACAACCAATGACAAACACTCTCACAATCTTGAAAATATTAGAACTATACAGCCAATGACAAACACTCTCACAATCTTGAAAATATTAGAACTATACAGCTAATGACAAACACTCTTACAATCTAGAAATTATTAGAACTGTACAGACAATGACAAACACTCTTACAATCTAGAAATTATTAGAACTATACAACCAATGACAAACACTCTCACAATCTTGAAAATATTAGAACTATACAGCCAATGACAAACACTCTCACAATCTTGAAAATATTAGAACTATACAGCCAATGACAAACACTCTTACAATCTAGAAATTATTAGAACTGTACAGCCAATGACAAACACTCTTACAATCTAGAAATTATTAGAACTATACAACCAATGACAAACACTCTCACAATCTTGAAAATATTAGAACTATACAACCAATGACAAACACTCTCACAATCTTGAAAATATTAGAACTATACAGCCAATAAGAAACACTCTTACAATCTTGAAAATATTAGAACTATACAGCCAATAAGAAACACTCTTACAATCTTGAAAATATTAGAACTATACAGCCAATAAGAAACACTCTTACAATCTTGAAAATATTAGAACTATACAGCCAATAAGAAACACTCTTACAATCTTGAAAATATTAGAACTATACAGCCAGTAAGAAACACTCTTACAATCTTGAAAATCATTATCACACAGGTGTTCTCTATACTGGTAACAGATAAACATAAAGGGATCTCTTGGTTGCTTACTATATAGATAAAGACTGGGACAATTGACAATCTATTCATCAGAAAACGCCGGCCTCTTTGATTCAGAGCCAAGAGTGTACCGAGGAGGAGTTTCCATGCGGCACCTTTTGATATTTACAGAAAGAGCACAGTGTCATCTTGTTGACGTGACGGTAAGATTTGAAGTTGTTCAAGGAACAAGTCCCTTGGGGATAACTAACTGACTTTAATGATACTTGAACAAAAGAATCTTAGAAACGCAGGAAATACTGCGGTGAATATGACCACTTCTTTGATATGAATATAAAATACAGTGATGATAGATGTGAAGAGTACCGGTACGTCACAATCAATGCGTTCTCTATCGTAATACATAAAACTGAGTAGACAAAATCAATACAATTTAATGCAAACATGGAAACCGAGAGTTAGTGTAGTTTTTCAAAATTTTGGTATTTTATAAAAGTGTCATAATCATAATTAATAATGCCAAAATTGCTCTATGAGAAATACAGCTCTAATAAAACGCAGGTAAACCATTAATTTATTGTATACTAGCTTATTCAAATATTATTTCCTTCGGCTACAAACACACCACTGACATTTACCTAAACACATGACAATACTGTATACACGACCAATTACAAGAAAATTAATTTGTAAGCATTTTACTTTAACAATTTATTTTCAGCATCTATGACATTTTTTGTTGCCACAAGATGAGATCTACTGGGTATTGCAACTGACAAAAGTGACATATATTTAAAGGTCAATATCACGAGAGAATTTCACCGCAAGTCTGGGGTAGTAGAGTTGAAGTTAGTCGCTGTTACAAAAGACAATGCTATAATATAGAACTCCCCCTAACATTATCCTGACAATGATAAAAACAAAGTGATTAACATATTACATTGTCATGCTAATTAGCCACAGCACAGTGCTATT